AGACTAGGATTTTACCACAGCGGAATTTCAGAATTTATTAACGATTATCCGGCGAGATTTCTCACCTGATATGAGTAATGAGCATGGACCTTTTCCGTTATATGGCCATAAATCCTAAGCTGTTTTCTACAGAGAGATAAATGAGCCAAAGTTGTACTGGCCACTGTTTTATTAAATATATTGTCATTATCATTTTTCAAAAAAAAAAAATTAATGTGTCATTCTGTTTTATTTTAGCTTATAGAATTAGCCTAGAGAATATATAGATAGACCTATATATATTATCTTATATAAATTTTACCGTAATGAAATTAACAGAAGGTAAAAGTATGTTTTCTCATTGGAAATACCAATTTGGCATATGAATCTTTCTAGAGAAAAATCGGTACTATTCCGTTTTGAGGACCGTAAAAAATTGCAACGAAAATGTATGCGCAAAAGCGCCGAATCTAGCAAACGCGCCCATTTAACAGCGCGCCAAATCTAGCGTACGTACTGATTTCAAATTGCGTAATTTTAGATAGTTCTATATTTCTTAAGACGCCATTGAAATACTAGTTTAATTTTTAAATCCTTTTTGATTTCAAATCCTTTTTTGATATCCTATAGATTTAACAATTTTGGAACTGCCCATGACGAAAAAATCCGTTCAGTTCAGCCTTCTTTTATATAAATTATAAAAATGATCTGAAATAGTTATTTACTCTTATGCTTCCATTCAGTCAGGTTTAGCCTTTTTTATATAAATTATAATAATAAAAAAAGTATTATATGAAATTAACCTTTTTATCTAAATTAAAAATAATCTTTAAATAGTTATTAGTCCAAAGGGATTTCAGTCCCGAAGGACTATTGCTTTCGTTTTGGCATTTTGCGTCGGACTCATAAACGTCGGTTTCACTTTTTCAAACTGTTGCCACAAAATGTTAGAGTCCTGCATTTATTTGAGAAGAAATTAAATAATGAAAAATCTGCATAAATGATTGTCTATTCTCGCATTGTGATAAAACAATGGTACATAGAGCCATCGAATTTTGAATGACGAAACCTACTGCGAATGTGGGCATCTGAAATCCCAAATTTGGAATTTGTTTTATTATAGATTTTTTATTTTGTAAAACTTTAACGAATTTTTGATTTACAAACTCAGGCTTTAAAGCGAGAAATGGCAACGTTTATATATATGAAAAAAAAAAAAAAAAAAAAAAAAAAAAAAAAAAAAAAAAAAAACTTTTAATCTCCAGCTCGCGAGACTGTGTATATCGGAAATTCTAAAGATATGCTTAATTTAACATTATTTTGCGATATTGCTCTTGAACTGAATGGTACTTTTCCGTTTCGCCGGCGCAAATCTCGCCAAGCAGACTTTATTGGCGACGACATACAGTATACACATAAAAAATATTAAAAAAATGTCAGTTCTAAGAATTCTTTTTTTGAGCGCATAAACATTTTAATATCGCTTAAAATTTTATAAAAAGCCAATAAATAAAGACAATTTAAGAATTTACTATGTTACATGGTTCAACATCCTGATTCGCCGGTTCATATCACGTGATCCCAAGGGATCTCATCTCACGTAAACTACTCTACAAAAATCTAATATTCTCAGTAATCATCTACATTAATTTCAAGTTAAATCTTAATGTGGAACACAAGTTTAAATGCAAGAAATATTTCAATTCGTACGAATAGCTTACTCAGAAATTATGTAAAACTGCAGTGTGCTTTACTTCGCTAATGCATTTTCATTAGATGGATGAATTTAAAACCCTTGACTTTACCTTTTCTATATTTTCGGCTTCGGGTAAGCGCTGTGATTGTATTCTAATTGACTTAATTACCGAAAATGGCCTTAGACATAAAACTGAACTATCTGATAAAAATTTATGTAATTATATACCAGTATTGAAAGAAACAATCAATCTGATAAGAAAAAGCTGCGACTTGTTTTGAAAATGAGGCGTAAAAGGTTACCAGCGAGAATATTCCGTTTGGCATCGGTTGTACCATTATTGGCGACTTTATCGCTTGCGCCGGCAAAACGGAAAAGCACCAACTGAATTTTATGGTTTAAGTGCAAAGAACATGATATTTAATAAATAAAGGTAACACTCAAAACGTTAAAAAAACGCCCTTTTGGACGTAATTTAAAATCTGAAAAATTTCAGATTTTTTTTTTTTTACTATTATACTTCCTTTCTTGCGTTAGGGTTGCCGCAATTATTTTTGGCAGCACTGGCATCAACGATAGTTTGGCGATTTTTTACGGTTCTCAAAACGGAATAGTACCGAAAAATCCTTAACGCATGCTGCTGTATAACGGTAAAGATCCACGTATCAGAAACCCCTATACCGACAATGTTAAATTGGCCATTTTCGATGTACCTTTTCTCAAAATCCGCTGTAGATACAAGCTTGAAATTTTTTCTGTAATTAAAGTATACCTATCTGATTATACAGAAATCAGCTTTTGAAAGCATTTTGAATTTTACAGTAATTTTAATTTTAGAGTAATTTTTCGTTAGGCATAGTAAAATTTAGCACTTTTCTCAACACAAAAAAAAAATTAAATTTTTTTTTTCTAAGTTAATTTAGAAAACGCTTATTTCAGTAAATATTAGAGAACCTAATAAATAAGCCATAAAAAGTTTAGATACCTGTGAGCAGTAGTTCCTGAGAAAAGGTACATCGAGTATCAAAAAATCACGTTTGGAGAAAAACGTGTTTTTATGTAAAAATCCTCATTGATCAAAGCAGTAGATGACAGATTAAAACTAGATTTTTTTTACAGTTCTAATTTTCATAGAGATTAAAGAATGGTATTTTTAGAAAGATAAAAGTTTAGAGAATTTGAAAATGCAAAAATCCGAAATCACAATTTTTTGAAGATTTTGGGGTTCCAACACCCCTTAACATTACCACTTTCAGTATCATACATTACAATGCCATCAGTCAAATAAAGTACAATATAAATCAGTAAGATATCATAAATCAAAAAGAAAAACATTATTATTCATGATCTAAACTTACGTATTCCGTCTGCTTAAAATTTCATAACATCTGATTAACTCGCGGCAGTGATGCTTTCAAGTACTTCGCCTGCGTAATAAATAAAACCTAACCCCTTTCAGCCCTAATACCAGCTGCGATAGTTGTCCACGCAACTCACCAGAAGTTCCCGCACCAAAGTGAGTGACCAGCGCTGTCTTACCCCTTTGGGTCCATCCCTCCAGTGGAGAATGGTAAGCATACGTCACTTCTGGTATAAACCAAACAGACGGCTCTCAATCAGACCCTCCACCAATCTGGGGAAAGGGGGACTATCTTCACTGCCCGAGGGTCATCCAGCAAAAAGAAAAACACTTTCGCCTCCTACCTTGGCAACTGATTACTAACCATTTACTATCAGCAAATACGTAACAAATGTAGAATGGCTACAGTTTGCTTTCTTCCCTTGAGGTTAAATTGCTATGAATTGCTTAGAATACTTGCCATTTTTGTTTCATTGTATGCAACGAGGTGTTTGACAAAAGATAACATAAAAGTATAGAACGATATTGTAGAATTTGAAGCTAAAATTTCGATTATTTCTTTTTGTACTGACTCTTTACTTAATTATGTCATAGTTTAGTTGTTGATTTCGAAATTTGAGTCACTGTTTAAATGCGTATTTTTTTACTCTTAATTATGAAAAGATTAACTTTCTTTATCCCAGACGGGCGTTAGCACAGAAGGGCTGTTAGTCTCAAAACGGCATTTTGCGTCCAATCACTTTTTAGACTGTTGCCACCAAATGTTATCATCCGGTGTTATATTTAAAGAAACTAAATAATGAAGAGTCGATATGAACGCGTGTATGGGTACTATTCGGTTTCGAGGGCCGTAAAAAATCGCCAAATTATTGTTGATGCCAATGCTGCCAAAAATAATTGTGGCAAGAATGGAAGTAAAATAGTAAATAACTATCTAAGATTATGGTTTTAATTTAGATGAAAGGTTAATTTTATATAATATTTTTTCATTATAATTTATATAAAAAGGCTAAACATAACTGAATGGATGCAGAAGAGTAAATAACTATTTCAGATCATTATTGTAATTTATATAAAAATTGCTAAACATAACTGAACATCGCTATTTCGCTACCGACTTATCGCTAAAGCATAATATCATCTCGTTGGTTGTTCAAACGTAATTTTCTATAATGAATGATGCCTTTTCTTTGAAAATATTCTCGGTAAAGTGCAGAATCGCTCACTTATTTGTTTGCCGCTTTTTACAAGGGTAAAAAAAAATTGAATTTTTGTCAATTTTCTTTTAAGTGAAAATAGGTCGATGTGTACATAAATAAAGTCAAGAGTGTGCGCAGTGTAATTTTTCTGCAATTCTAGGATTTTTTTTTTTAAGTGAAAATGGGTCGATGTGCACAGTATGTGCAATTCTTAAAAACGCGTCAAGCAGTGGGTGGTTCTGCACTTTTGCCGACTTTTCGTCATGGACAATTCCCAACTTGTTAAATCCATAGGATATTACAAAAGGATTTAAAATAAAAAAGGATTTAAAAATTAAAATAGTATGTCAATGGCGTTTTAAGAAATATAGAAGTATATAAACTTACGCAATCTGAAATCAACGCTTACGCTAGTTTGGGCGCGTCTGCTAGATTTGGCGCTTTTGCGCATATATTTTCGCTGCAATTTTTTTACGGCCTTCAAAACCGAATAGTACCCGCGTAGGTTTTCCGGTTGTAGCGTCATCAAATTATAAATAACATAATCCGACATCCGACCATGGGCACCTAGAAATACGAATTTGTTTTATTGACTATTTCATATTTTATAAAACTTTAACGAATTTTTGATTGAAAAACTCAACGATTTCAAAGCGAGCAGTGGCAACGGAATAAAACACTTTTTATCTCCAGCTCGCGAGATTGTCTATCGGAAATTCTAAAGTTACGTTGTTTTTAAGTGTAATTAGCTCAATACGGCGCAAGCCCAAATACTCTCCGAACGTATATGTGTCTGAATATTAAAAAATCATCCGTTTAGGCGTAATATAAAATCATCCTGTTAAGAGGTCTCGATCAAGAAGGTGACTCGTCTATACTTTCAATTAATAGAGCTGTTGCGTCATTATTAAAGGATCTTAACCTTGTGCAAGTAAGTAACATAGTGTATTAAATAACGTGATGTTATTGCAGTGTTTAAAAAAGTGTTGAATTGTGTCAAGTTATGCATATATATTAAGTTTAATATCACTTATATCGTCAACGGTCTCTGACAGCAGGATATCTGATTCCAGACTGCGAGTTTTTTTACCAAGTATGTTTGGCTATGTTCATTTTAGCATCGTTAAGACCATATTTTAAAAATTAAAATTGCTGGTTGCTTTATCCTTATGGTTTTACACAGAAAAAAAAAAAGCATATTTTTCAGATTAAAAGTAGATCTCTTTTTCAGATGCATAAATGACTCATGTAGTTTTGTGCAAATGATTTGTAGTTTTCCTTTTAATTTTTTGCCCAAGGGGCTTTTGGCATTTTGCCTTGATTCACTATAAACGGCGAATCACTTTTGAAATTGTTGCCACCAAATATTAGAGCCCTGTATTATATTTAAAGGAATTAAACAATGAAGAACCTGTATGAATGTATGTACGTTTCTCGCATTGTGATAAAACAACGGTACCTAGAGCCCTCCAATTTTGAATAACGTACGTCTCCATCCCAATAGGGGCATCTGGAAACTGGAATTTGTTTTATTATCTATTTCATATTTTGTAAACCATTTATGAGTTTTCGATTAAGAAACTCAACGATTTCAAAGCCAGCAATGGCAACACTGTACGAAAAAAAAAAAAAAAAAAAAAAAACCCTGCGAGACTGTGTATCGGAAATTCTAAACATATGCTGTTTTAAATGTTTTGTGATGTTACTGTTGAATTGAATGTTATGGTTTAAGGGCGAAGAACATGATAGTTAATGATAGTTAATATATAAAGGTGACACAGAAACCGTTATAAATCCCCCGTTTGGGCGTAATATAAAATCTGAAAGCTTTTCAGATTTTTTTTCTGCTCTCTGTTTAATCTGTTCAAGAAGGTGATACAATATGTATGAATGGATATGAAGCGCATCTTATATACATTCCCTCACTGGATAGCGAAGGTAGCACACTAATGTTTTAACATTAGCACACGCAAGATAAAGCATTTCGTGGTAAAATCCTAGTACAGCCTTGGCGTGATTTTGAAAATTATCGCCAACACCAAAAATGACCCAAACAACGTCTATGTATATACTATACACTATATACTAAGTATACACTATGTATAACTATATATATTCTTTGAATGACCCGTTTACTACTCATCGTATATGTCCCGTTTTTATTGCTCATCATAAAGTCGCCAAAAGTAGCCAAATCCCGTGTGCACCGGATACTAGGATTAAACCCATTTTGTGTATATCAGAATAAATTGCTATATTCTCGAGTTTGCTAATTTTGATTTTCTGAAGAAAATTCAGAATTATTATTACACGGAGTTTTATTGCTACAACTATTGATCTTTTGATATCACAAAGGCTAATTGGTATTTACAGTGTTAACGTAGAAGGACTAGAAACTTTGGCGGCAGTTTGACACTGTTTAGCTTTTCTTTATTTCGGGTGGAAAATGTTTGACGGTGGGTTCTAAAAATAATAGCCTCTTCTTCGGATGGCACAGACTGTCCTTTCACCACCGATAGAGAATAGCTGATATATTGCACTTTGTAACCGATTACGAAGTTTGGATGCTTCGTTTGCGTTTTATGCGGAATTGTGGTAAAGTTGTATGTAGAAAATCTTGCAGAAAGAAAAAGGGCCTACATTCGTATTTATTTTTTTCTCTTTATGAACGAGACTGGGCGCAATACGAATAAATCTCTACGATACATTCAATCGTTTCCATTATTCCAATTAATTCATCGTGAGATTCATTCACCTTTAGAAAGGTCTCAACCATTTGCGGCACAATGTGTCCGGTCTGGACACACCTAAAAATTTCCTTTCTGTACGCAGAATAAAATTGAATGAAAAAGGATTTATAAGTTACTCTGAACTTTCTTTATTTATAGTAGTTGGCAACTCAACACAAACCAATCCATATATTTTAGCCATGTTTAGTTTTTTTAAGACCCTCATTTTTCAAAGAAATCTTCCAGATTTTTTTTAGGGTGTAAAAGGAATTGTTTCAAAAGAAATTTCTGTGTTATTTTTTTGGCTGTATGCTAATCTCCTTATTCTATATTAGTTTTAAATTTTTACCTTGAAATCTTGCCTAAAATCAAACGGCGAACCCTAGGTGTGCCCAGAGCGGGCTCACCGATAATCTAGGACAACTGAGAGTCTGTATTCTTTGTTTCTCCGCCTCTCGTCGGTCAGTTCATTGACAACAATGTTCGTTTCAGCACTCTTTTCGGAGCTCTATTCAATCAGTGTGCCCATTTTGGGCACACCCACAGTATTAAAACGATAAGTGCTATCTTCACAAAATTTTGCTTGTGTACTGTAATTAGACTGCTTACCTTTTTTTTTTTTTTTTTTTTCTTTAATCAAAACTCCAACTTTAAAAGTTAGCGTGCCGGAAAGGGTTAATAAACAGAAACTGGCTCATATTGTTGATACAATGATAAAAATTGTTGATAGGCTTAGTTTAGTTCTCTTGTTAATAAAAAACTGAAATTGGGCATGTAATGATTTTAAAAAATAACGAAAATTAATATATGTTTGTATTATTGTCTAAGTAGAAATAATGCATGATTATATAATAGATATTAGAAGCTAGTGATTGTATATGGACGATTTAAAATAATAATTAGGTGTGGTAGAGCACACGAGGAAAAGAATCATTGAATTTTATTTATTGAGAAAACTTCGTAATTCATAAGCAGCCCCCACTTGCTTATCGATGATACAAGTCTGTCTATCGATGTTGAAGGACACTCTGTGCCATCCAAAAAAGCGGCGAACATCTAAAATAGCTTCATAGCATTTTTAACCTGAGTTACAGCTTTCTGCCCGCTACATGAACCCGCTTAGTACGACTTCAGACCTATTGAAACTTCGCCGTGAGGCGCTTCGGTTGACTTGAATTCATTTTGTGCAAACTGAAGCATCGGCGGTTACTTCGCAATTCACTTGTAAGATATTAATACTCACTCTTCTAAGTAATACTTACTCTTGGAAGAAACTAATAGCATTACTTTCATTGTTTGATAGATACCACAAATGGACGAATAAAGTCGAAAAAATGCAATGTTTTGTGAAAGGTTGGGGACGATAAAGGTCCAAGTGACTTTTTTTTTTCCAAGGGATGGCCAAGGCTGTTATTCGACGGCATTTTGCGTCGGACTCATAAATGTCGGTTCACTTTTCAAACTGTTGCCAAAATTAGAGTCCTGCATTATATTTGAAGAAATTAAATAATGAAAATCTGCGTAAATGTATGTATATTTCTCGCATTGTCATAAAACAACGGTACATAGAGTCATCGAATTTTGAATAACGTAATCCTCCAACGAATATGAGCATGTGGAAGACCAAATTTGAAATTTGTTTTATGATCGATTTCCTATTTTTTAAAACTTTGACGAATTTTTGATTAAAACTCAAGGATTTCAAAGCGAGCAATGGCAACGTTGTGCAGAAAAAACATTTTTATCTCCAGCGCGTGAGTCTCTGTATCGGAAATTCTAAAGATATGCTCGTTTTAAAACTATTTTGCGATATTGCTGTTGCACTGGATCTTATGGTTTAAGTGCGAGGAACATGATATTTAATAAAGAAAGGTAACACACAAAATGTTAAAAAACGCCCCTTTGGACGTAATTTAAAATCTGAAACATTTCAGATTTTTTTTTTTTTTTTTTAGTCCAAAGGGATTTGAATCCCGAAGGACTATTAGTTTCGTTTTGGCATTTTGCGTCGGACGGATAAATGTCGGTTCACTTTTCAAACTGTTGCCCATAAAATGTTAGAGTCCTGCATTATATTTGAAGAAATTAAATAATGAAAATCTGCGTAAATGTATGTATATTTCTCGCATTGTCATAAAATAACGGTACATAGAGTCATCGAATTTTGAATAACGTAATCCTCCAACGAATATGAGCATGTGGAAGACCAAATTTGAAATTTGAAATTTGTTTTATGATCGATTTCCTATTTTTAAAACTTTGACGAATTTTTGATTAACAAACTCAAGGATTTCAAAGCGAGCAATGGCAACGTTGTGCAGAAAAAACATTTTTATCTCCAGCGCGTGAGTCTCTGTATCGGAAATTCTAAAGATATGCTCGTTTTAAAAACTATTTTGCGATATTGCTGTTGCACTGGATCTTATGGTTTAAGTGCGAGGAACATGATATTTAATAAAGAAAGGTAACACACAAAATGTTAAAAAACGCCCCTTTGGACGTAATTTAAAATCTGAAACATTTCAGATTTTTTTTTTTATCAGAAGTCAAACAAAAAAAATCTGTATGATAAATTTTAAATGGACTTCCTCATTTTATTCCCCCAAGCTTGTTTCATTTAGATGGATGCAAAATACTTAAAAATTAAGGACCTTATAGTTTTGCTTTTAAGAGAGTTTTAATTTAGATAGCGAAAACTCCCTCCTAGTACAGTGACGGGGAATGTCAGGTAGCGAGAAATGTCGTACAGTATTAGCACAGAATTTTTGAAGGTATGTTATTAAAATATGTTATTTATGGTATGTTATTTACTGGACATTGAATTAATGTGCTTAATGAAATATTATTAATAATAACAAACAACAAACGTATTCTTAAATACTAGCTATTTTTACAGCTTAATTAGAGCTGTAATGTAATTATATAACAAAATATTAAAAACATTAAAGTTTTCCTTGATCCACACTTTAGCAATGACCTTTCTATGGTTTTCGTTCACTGTGCCCTTCTCCAGGGATCAAATTTATCTCCACTGGAATACATCTGAACAAAAAAGTTACATAATTCAGCTTATTGGCTAACGAAAGCTCGTGAAAATAAAGATTAGTTATTATTTACCAAAGGCTCACATGTGCTTGTCATATTAAGTACGTCATAAGAAAGCCCACCAGCGGCCGAGCGGTAAAGTCGCTGAACACTGGTA